AGTAAATTCATCTTAAATTTTACTTTCAAGAATTGTATTTATAATTCAATATCACTTAGCTAATAAAAACATTGCATCCAAAAATTTACTTTATTATAAGTGATATTTAAAGAATTAATATAATAATATATTAAAAAATTTACATATTTAACTTATAATAAAAGTTTGATAAGTATAATAATATGAGGTATTTTGATACTCAGAATACTCATTATCTTTATAAAATTGTTTGTTAAAACAATAAATAGCAAATATTATTGGCAATTTTTCAAATGAATTGTTTTTAATTTAGATTTATAATTTAAGACTAAATTATATTTTTCAACAGGATAATAGGTAAAACGATCTCTAATAATCATGTGACTGTCTCGAGAATATTAATTAATACAATGCCACAAAGAATTAAAACGTAAGTGTTTTGTATAATTTTTATAAAATATTTAACGAAAAAGATTTCTATTTAAAAAACGGCTGATTAACGATTATTGCCATAATTGATCGGGTCTTTCTTTATTGATTTTTAAAACTGCGTTAGCCATTGCTAAAAAAAACTTGGACGTAGGAAAACTTGGACGTAGGAATTGTGTAAAGTCACAGTGCCAATTAATAATAAATTATGGCTGATTGATTCCGAAATATATATATCCAAAAATAAATTTATAAGTGAAAATAGTATCGAGTACAGATCAAAAATTGCTTAATTTCAACATTAACTATGTTGAGATTATACATAATATCCTACAAAGAAGTTTGATTGATAGCATTTCTTAAAATATCAACACCTCGTCTACTTTCAAATGAGAATCCTTTTTTAATTGAATCATGTCTAACAGTAACAATACATGTTATCTTATTGCCACGAATCCATTTAATATCACGGCGGAAATCCAATGCAAACCAAACATTATTCAACGGCATTCCCCACTACATCAAAAATGAAGTTAAAAGGTCGATATTAAGCCATGAATAATTAAAAAAAAGACAGAAATTCATTCTCACAGATTTAAGTTGCCACCATCTAAGTGGACATTCCTCATCAGTGACAACTGAAGTGATCTCGGTTAAAGGGATAGATTTCGAAGTTCCGAGTGGAAAATAAAATTTTTTGATGATCAAGTGTGTGCTGGTTACGATAAAAAACTTATCCTCATAGAGGTTTGAAGACAACCCTCGTTCTTCGCCGGTATTATTGATAGTCTTTGGAGTGGCGGTATCAGTTTTTAATGACATGAATAATTGATGTGAAGTTCGTTCTTATTTGTTTTATTCACCAGTTTATTATAAGAATCACAAGCTTATTGTGGTGGGTATTACAATATACAAATGATCAATAAGGGCGCCAGAAGTCATCTGATTTCTGGCACACCCTTAATAAGGTATCAGGGAATTTACTTTGGTTCCATGTACTACAATAGTTTTAGAAATCTTTCCAACAAGCTTTCCTTTAACTAGATTCTCTCGAATCATGAAATTCTTATTATAAAACCCCAATTGAGTCTGTCTTTCATCAAATACGGCGCTTCCGATACCTCGTTGTCTTATTATTCCTTTTAAGTGTGCATTATAATTCTCCCGTATAATTTTCATACAAAATCCCAATTTCTCTTTTTTCTCAAAATCACCATCGTGATGATTATCCTCGTTTATTGAATTTATTCGTGTAAGTTGTATGGTTGTGATTCCTGTGTTGAAAAATTTATTATTTCGTAAAGGAAGTGAGGGTGATGTTTCTTTACAGCACAAATTGATGAATTCGTTCAACCAAATTCCATGCGAAACTATTGCGATATTTTGATCATTTTCTGAATTGGATTCAAGATGCTCGTTCCATATTTCTATTAATATATTTTTTGCGCGTTCAGCCACGTCATTGAGACTTTCTCCATATTCATGTTGGCGATTACGAATTGTTTCTTGGACAGACGAGGCCTGTGATGTCCATGATTTATTTTCAAGCGCACCTAAATATTGCTCTCGAAGTCGTTCATCAATATGTAATGCAATCGCTGAATTATGAATATTATGCTTATATATCGTTGCGGCAGTAATACGCGCTCTTTGGAGATCACTTGAAATTATGCGTGAAAACTGTGTAAAAATAGTTTTAAGGAAAAAAGTGACGATGAGGGGCGCGCACACACACATATATAAAAAGGTACCTTTTCATTTGCTAAAAATAAAGCACAGCTGTCTGCTTGCTTAATATATTGGAATTATTGTTAATTTGAATTTCATTTACAAGA